TCATTTTTATGATTCTTTAAATCCAATCCTATTTTACCCTTTTCATCAAGGTTTTTTGCATATTGAATTTTTTTTTTTAATATTTCACATATATCACATAAATCTGTAGCAGATGTCATAAATTTAACATGTGGTGTAAGATTTTTCCAAAGTCGAACAAAACTCTTGTATGATATAACTGATACATTACTATTTAATTCTCTACTAGTTGTAACAAAATCCTCATAAATCCTAGTATAATTTTTTTCAGTTGGCAATAAAATAATTGCTAAAGAATCTGTTTGCATATGACGACCTGGTGAGGAAAATCCATAAATATTTGCATAATTGATAATCAAGTTACAAACAATTATAGCCAATTCTTGATCAATAGTAACACGTGATGTTACTTTAGAAAGATTTCTCATATTTTCATGTTGTCGTTCTACCAATCCTTCCATTAATAAATGATGTTTAATAGCTCTTAAAGTTTCATCATTAATGCCAACAAGTTTAAAGTAAGTGTTTTTACATAAGGAAATTTAAAATTAAAATGGTAATTAAAAAAATATTTTTTTTGGTTATTATTATCATTATTAAGGAAAGCTAATAGTTGGCCCATTAAAATAAATTCCAGTTGTTTTTTTTCTAAACTTTAAAATTCTAAATGTCTTTTAAGAAAAGCTTCAAACCCAACTTCTTTAAAATATTTTTCTTTTTTATTATGGCAAGTACAGTTAGCAAGAACAAAAAATTGGGTTAAGTCATTAATAACTGCTTGCATAAATTCGTTCTTTTCATATTGTTCCAAAACAACATTGTTCAAAGAAAAGGTTGAGTCATTTTCTTTATTGTCAAAATTATTAAAGTTAGACATAGTCATACAAAATTAAAAAAAATTTAAAAAAATTCGTATCACATGATTTTATATTACATTTTGTTCTAAAAATAAACTGTAAATAATGACGTAATTTATGACGATCAAATTTTAAGTTCTAATTTTCTCAAAAAGTAAAGTATTTTTTAGAGAGGCATTTTGCTAGTCCATGACCATGTGATTGAGATTCATATATCAATTCAAATGTCACGAAACTTTATTATTATTTTTTAGATATATAACTAATCAGAAAATGCTAAAGAAGCAAATGAAATGTATGATGCTATCAAAGAAGAAGGGAGTACGCAAATCCTAAGCCATTTAATGCGAGTTCCAGCATCAAGTTATTTCTTTGCGAATACATTTTCTGATAAATTTCTACAACTAATTTATTTCTATATCAATTGCTAATTACGAGATTCTCATAACAATGCTCTCTTTCTACACTAGATTTCTGAAATAAATTATCTCACCCAATGTCTACAGGATATTTGTCTATCTATATTTCTCCCAAACACGCAGATTATGTAAAATAATATTTCCCGTAATAAAACTTCTCGGGGATTAAGTAATTTCGAATCTATGGATAAATTCGGAAGATTAGCAACTGAGGTAAAAAAAAAATTCAATATGCAAAAAACCTTGATGAAAAGGGTAAAATAGGATTGGATTTAAAGAATCATAAAAATG